GCCCCGCCCGGCCAGTATCTGCCCGCCCCGCCCCCCTCCTGCGCAGAGCTTCCTTTTTGCAAGCTCGCAGTATTTTGGTTTCTTGCTCGTGGGAGGACCCCACCTGTAGTGTTGGGCGGAAGTGGAGGAGTCGAGCTGAGTGTGGGGAGGCCAGGGTCGACCTCTGGCATTCCTGCTGCCGGCCTCTGGGTGCCGCACCGTAGTTCCCTTGTTTGTGCCCGGGGTGAAACCCCAGGAAAATCACGAGTGTCTTTCACTGGGAAATCCCAGCTTTTAAGGGGGGAATTTTCATCCCACTGAACAAACGCTGCCCGAGCTGCCTTGTGCGCCTGGCAGGCTTGAGGACGGGGGCACAGGCTGGAGTGCTGTGCCCTTCCACGGACCTTGTGGTAGGAGACTTGGGAAGCGCGGAAGCAAACGGGGATGGCAGGATGGCCCAGGCTGGGGTGCAAGGAGGCCCCCAGCGGCGACTCTGCAACTGGGAACGGAGTGATGGGGACTACTGGGAAGGGAGTTCTGGCAGAGCGGGGAGCAGGACACCAGCCGACTGCCTGGGCTCTACCCTGCACCCGGCCCAGTGCCTTGCTGGGCCTCAGTTTCCCCGTGTAGCCTGGGGCTGGTGAAGTAAATTGGCGCATCTGGCAGTGCCCACACTGCGGGAGGGCTCGGCCCATGTGGTCATCTCACGGACACTCCTGGGCCCTGGGCCCTGCCGGTGACCTGGCTGGCTGAGCTTCTGGGAACGCAGAAGACCTCTGTGACTGTCAAGGTCACCGCGCCCTGAGGGCAGGAAGATGAGGGGCGGGGCCTGCCCACTCCTGACACCCGGCCTCTGTGTGCAGACGTGGACGAGTGTGCCATGGGCTCGCACACCTGCCAGCCAGGCTTCTCATGCCAGAACACCAAGGGCTCCTTCTACTGCCAGGCCCGGCAGCGCTGCATGGAGGGCTTCCTGCAAGACCCTGAGGGCAACTGCGTGGGTGAGTCGGCTGCGGGGTGCTGGGGACTCCCGACGGTCCCCAAGCCCAGGCAGACCTGCTGGCTGCTGTTGCTGCCCACCTGTGTGCCTAGTGCCAGCCCTAAGAGCACCTACAGAACAGTAGCTACTTACCCTGAGGCGTCTGACCTTGGCTGTTATTTTGCTTATGGCCTCAGTTTACCATCTCCGTTACTGCACGGGAAGAATGCATATCAAATGTTTTTAACCTGGCCAAGGAGACTTTATCTGATCATGACTTGGTACATACACTCACATCCACAGACAGCTGGCATACAAAGTTCACAAAACAATGATAACTCTCAGGCTCACTGAAATCTTCATTTTTAAAGAGTGCTAGTGAGTCCTGCCTTGATTCTGTGCTGCAGTCCTGGCTTGAGGCCTACAGCTGGACAGAGGCTGGCTTCCTTGCCCCAAGAGGACTGAGAGCCGCACTCCTTGTCCTTCATCGGCCAGGAGGGCCCGCTGGGGAGGTCACAGCCAGCCCTGCCACAGGGGTGGTCAGTGCAGAGGGACAGCGGGGAGAGGAGGGGCAGACGACCGAGGGTGACTTGGGCACAGAGCTCTTGCCTGCCCTTCCCCATGGCCACAGGGAGGAGGCTGGGGCTCACGGGGGGGCTTTGACTTTGCGTGAAGGCCTTCGCAAGCTTTCAGTGGTTCCCTTGGCCAATCTCAAGACCCCTCCCCAAGACACCGCCTTTAATGTCCCCTTGCCCTGTGACCTCACTTGTGTGTCCTACAGCGCAGGGGACCCCTCAGGACCTTCAGGGAAAGGTGGGGCGGGGTCTGCCTGATTTGACAGTTGCTCAGTGTCCCCATCACGGAGGACCTTTTGTGCCAGGATTTCAGGTGGGAAGGAGCTACAGCAGCCTGACAAGTTTAGCAAGGAGCACCAATAAGCAACCAAACTTATAAAAGTACCAGTAATTCACTTTGGTACACAGTAAAACCCGGAGGGGATAGAAATGTAAAGGAGAGCTCTTCTACTCAGATCGATCCCGGGTCTCCCAGAGGGGGTGACACTGGGGCAGAGAGCTGAGGAAGTGCGTGCCAGGGCAGCTGGGCAGCAAATGCAGAGGCCCTGGGGTGGGGGTGTCCCGGGGGGCTGGGTGGTGTGTAAGGGCAAGCAGGGGTGGGGCTGGCTGGCAGGGCCTCGTTGTCTATGTGGCATGGGCAGCTTTTGGGGAAAAGTTACCCAGGCTCCGCCTTCATTTCCCCTCTGCCTCCAGTGGGACCATCAGATTCGAGTGGAGTTTAGCCGCGCAGCTTATGCTGAGGGCTGGAGGCGCAGGCACCCTTGGGGTCGTGGGACACAGGGCTGGGGTAGTCTTGCCTAGGGTGGCCTGGGGATGATGTCACAGGCTCCAGGTCAGCTGTGCCCCCTCTGCAGACATCAACGAGTGCACGTCGCTACCCGAGCCCTGCCGCCCCGGCTTCAGCTGCGTCAACACGGTGGGCTCCTACAGGTGCCAGAGGAACCCGCTGGTGTGCAGGCACGGGTACCACGCCAGCGAGGACGGGGCGCAGTGCGTGGGTAAGGCGGGCGCCCCAATCCCCCCCATCCCCGGGGAGGCCGGGGTCGCGGGGCGAGCAGCGCTCAGAGTGCGCTGCTTCCGCAGACGTGAACGAGTGCGCCACGGGCGTGCACCGCTGCGGCGAAGGCCAGGTCTGCCACAACCTGCCCGGCTCCTACCGCTGTGACTGCAAGGCCGGCTTCCAGCGGGATGCCTTCGGCCGCTCCTGCATCGGTAGGTGGCGGCCCTGACCCCAGGCGCCCCGCACCCCTGACTGGGGCATCTAGCCTGGAGCCCTGACCCGCCTCCCGGACAGGGGCCTCCCTCAGCCCCTCCCTGCGGCTGGGCACCCTCCTAGGTCTTCCCCGTTTCTCTGGCCGCTGTCTCCGTGCCCTTGTGCCTGGTTCCCGCGGTGCCCGTCACCCCCGCCCTCCCCATCCCCACCTTCCTCAGCCAGGGACCCGGCTGGGCACAGGGCGCTGGCTTCCCATTAGCTCTGTCCTCCCCACGCCGCCCACCCGGTGCCCACGGCCACCCCCACCCCTCCGCAGACGTGAACGAATGCTGGACCTCGCCGGGCCGCCTGTGCCAGCACACGTGCGAGAACACGCTGGGCTCCTACCGCTGCTCCTGCGCCACCGGCTTCCGGCTGGCCGAGGACGGCAAGCACTGCGAAGGTACTGCCTCTGGCCCGCGCACCCCAGCCGTTAGCTCCCTCTCAGCCAGGCAACCCAGCCTTTGTCCCAGCCTGGCCGCTGGGCTCTCCAACGTGGCGTCTGGCCTGCCCACCCTGGCATCTGACCCCACCCACCCTGGCGGCTGACCCCGCCCACCCTGGCGGCTGACCCCGCCCACCCTGGTGGCTGACCCCACCCACCCCAGCCTCTGACCTCCCTGGTCTCTGGCCCTGCCCAGCCCAGCCTCTGGCCCCGCCTTGGCCTCTGGCCTCTCCTGGCCTTTCCTGCGGATGCATAGGCCCTGCAGGTGACTGGAGTTGCAGGTCGGGGAACTGAAGCCAAGAATGCGGGGAAAGGGAATTAAGAGAACAGGGGCCACAAAAGTGGGTGGCGGCCACAGGACACCCACACACATGCCACCAAGGGTCCAGGCCCTGGGCAACTTCCTGTTCTTAGCTTTCCAGAAGCCAAGAATCTCAGTGCCTGTGTAAAAAACTGAGTGGCATTTGCACATGACAAATGGAGTTCAGCTTCAGGGAACACAGTTGGAGCCCAGCTGTATTAGTCACTCTCCTGTTGCTGGGACAGAATACCTGACACCTGCAATCTAGAAGAAGAGAGGGTTATCTGGCTCACAGTTTCAGAGGGCTTAGTTCGTGGCTGGCTGGCTCCAAAGTAGAAACGGCACGGTGGAGGGGCGTGGTGGAGGAAAGCTGCTCACCCCATGGCTGCCAGGAAGCAGGGAGAGAGGAGAGGACCCAGGGGCCACAGTACACCCTTCCGGGTCACACTCCAGTGTCCACCTCTTCCCACCTGGCCCTGCCTCCAAACAGCACATTTGGCTGTGAATGTAGTTCTAAACCCAATACCACCTGGGGTCCCTGCTTCTGCCCCAGGCCCAGCCAGCCCTGCCTCAGTGCATGCCCTTGCTTGGTTGGTCCCTGCCCTTTCTGCAGAGGCGTCTGGTTCTCTGTCAGCCCCCAAGGTTGGCTGGAACTTAAGTTTTTCTGGACAAGGCTCCATGTAAGCTGGGGGCCTGAGTCTCATACCTGGACTGGGAGGACCCCCCCACCCCATGACTACCACCCAGTATCCCTGCAGATGTGAATGAGTGTGAGACCCAGCGCTGCAGCCAGGAGTGTGCCAACATCTATGGCTCCTACCAGTGCTACTGCCGTCAGGGCTACCAGCTGGCAGAAGACGGGCACACCTGCATAGGTAGGCACCCGTCTTCTCCTCTGCCAGGGGCAGGTTGAATGTGGTGTCAGAATGTGGAGGCTGTGACTGGCACCTGATTGACTTCTGCTGGAGGAAGCAGCTGTGGGGCAAATCTGCAGAGAGAGCACTGGAATGGGAGCCCTGGTCTGCCATGTGGCCTTAGGGAACTCGCTTCTATTTTTAAAGGCCTCGTGGCCTGGGCCTCTGGCTCTGTGGCTGTGACGGAGTCAGGCTGTCTGTGGTGGGTCGAGAGGACGTGTTAGGCCCGTGGTGAGTGGTGACGCTCTTTCTGCAGACATTGATGAGTGTGCACAGGCCGCTGGCATGCTCTGCACCTTCCGATGCCTCAATGTACCTGGGAGCTACCAGTGCACATGCCCAGAGCAGGGCTACACCATGATGGCCAACGGCAGGTCCTGCAAGGGTAAGCGGTGGCAGGCGCTGGGTGGGCATGGGGACCTCACACAGCTTGCTGGGCGCCTAGAATGCAGCTGTGGTTCATGGAGACAGAATGCTCTGTGCCTGCAGTGCCTGGCGGCAGGAAGTGGCTGCTCAGTCCCGCACACAATCTTCCAGGTGGACTCCCTTCCCTGGAAGCAGGGCCGGGCACTGTGGGGGGTGCTCATGAGGCAGGGGACTGTCCAGGGGGGATGTGGGGCCTCAGGCACTGTCCCCGAGTCTCTCCAGTGCTATCCGCGGGGCTGGAGGTGGGACCCCCTAGGAAGAGGGAAGAGGGTGGCAGGGAGGGCTGCCTGGGGAAGGGCGCCCCTACCCCTGGTGACACGTGAGCTAGGGCAGGGCAGTCACGCGTCTGGTTTGCAGTAGAGGGGACTGGGTGGGACTGGGTCCTGTGACACTGAAGAGAGTCACGTCTGTGTTTGTAGCCACCGGTCACCAAACTCGGGGTCCGGCCAGCCCTCAGGGCCAGGTGGAGAGGCAGGATGCAGGACGGGCACCAGCTTCACCTTGGAGAACCGACTGCTGAGCCTCCTGGCGCTGGAGACACCTGCCCCCGCCCCCGGCTTTGGGGCTGCGATCCCCCAGACAGTGGCCCTGAGAGCCCAGAGGCCCCTGGGCTGGAGCAGGGACAGAGTTAGTGCCCAGAAGGATCTGCAGTGTGACCGAGTGCCGCAGGTTGGCGGTGGTCCCCGCCAAGGACCCTGAGAGCAAGTTGGGGGTCATTGAATAGAATGCGGGGTGGGACACGGGAGCATGTGGCGCGGCTCCCGCCAGCCGGCCCTGGCTGTGGAAGAGTTGCTCCAGTCCTCAGTGTGTGTACTTGGTTCTGGTGTAAAGCGTTCCTTACTGGAGGCAGATGTGGGGACAAAGCAGGGATAAACTAAGTCCTAAGCCCTGCGTGTCTTGCGTGGACGGCGGCTCACAGCCTCCACCTTACAGAAGCCCCCTGGGCTCCTCGGCTTCGAATCCTCTGCTGTATGATCTATGGCTTAGGGAAAGCTCAGCGGGTCTGGAAATAGGACTTGCACCCCTAGAATGCAAGTGATTTTGCAAGTGACAACAACACCCTTCTGCCCCATACCAGAATGCGTGTGTGACCACTTCCAGGAGAACTGCAGGTTGGAAAGTCACCTGCGTTCAGGACAGGCTGTCCCCAGCCTGTCCCCTTCCTGGCCTGCACAAAGCACTCGGGGTTGAGAACCCCAGGTATCCTTGTGTCTGTGTGCTGGCCACGGAGGGAGAGGGGTCTTCCGGGGGCGCAGCACTCCCTGCTCCAGTCTGGCCTTGGGGGCCCCCATGCCAGCCCCTGGATATCTGCATCCCAGGCCCTGATCACTCCAGGGGCCTCGGCTGGCTGCTGATCTTTGAAGCTAAGCAGCTGTCCCTCGTGTGCTCTGGTCCTATGCAGACCCAGACCAAACCCTGAGCTGTCGCCTCCTGGGAAGAGGCCGGGAGGCTGCCACAGGGCGGCCGTGTGCTGACTGAGACCTCGTGAGCACTCCCTCTTCAGGAGTCACAAACAGGATGGAAAGGAGGGCGCTTGGCCTCAGCCGTGCCCCCTAGAATATGGCTTACCCCACCTAGAGCCCTGTCCAGCTCAGGACACGGCCCAGGTGCTACATGGAGAGGAGGTGCTGCTCGATGTCGCTGTACACACACACACACACACACACACACACACACACGTCTGTGTGTCTTCAGGTCTTATATCTAAATTCAACCAACTGTGGGTTGAGAATAATTGTGAAAATAAAAATTGCCCCTCCCCTGCACATACATGGAATTTTTTTTTAGCATTATACCCTAAACCAGCTGTGTCTAACCTGTGGCCCATGGGCCAGATGCAGCCTGGGACAGCTGGTAATATAGCTCTGTGTGGCGGTAAACTTTTAAAATTATTCTGTGATTTTTTCATTAGTTTTTTTTTGTTTTGTTTTCTTTTTCTCATTTTTGGTGCTGGTACTGGGCATTGAACCCAGGTCCCTCACACTGAGCCACATCCCAAGTCCCTTTAAAAATTTTTTTTCTTATTTTGAGACAGGGTCTTGCTAAGTCACTTAGGTTTTCAGGATGGGCTCAGACTTACAGCCTCCAAGAGTGCTGCAATTACAGGCATGTGCCACCATGCCCAGCTAGGATATGATTCTTTGATTCCATCGTTTGGTGCTAAAGGGCAGACTATACAGGTGAACGCCATGCAGCGAAGGGCATGGTGCTGTGGTGACTCCGCCTCCTGTCCCCGCCACGTGCAGTCCAGTGGGAACCCAAGTGGATCAGATGGAACCTGTGCCCGTGCAGCTTTGCAGGTGGAATGCCGCAATGATGTGTGTGCCTGTGAGGACAGGCGTTTATTGCGATGAAGCAGACATGCAAGTTTTTTAATGATTACTCTACGCTTGGGCTTGCTCGGTTGTTTTGTAAAATAATGGAAGCTTTGTTACTTACAAACATGAACTCTTTTCTGTATTTGCTATGTGGCCCCAGACACTTCCTCTTCACTCAGGTGGCTCAGGCCAGCTGCAAGGTTGAGCGCCCAGGCTCCAAGCCACACAGTGTAACTAACAGTCGCTGACATTTATGTGGTGTGAGGCGCAGTCATCTTCTAGAGACGAGTTCGAGTAGACGGGAGGGTGAGCGGAGGCTGCGCCTGCGCACTTGTGAATCTGCCAGGGGCCCCGGAACCACGCTCGGGCAGATACCCAGGGACGGCACTGTGTGTTTATAATGTTAATGGAGACCTTGCTGAAAATAGCAGAGCATTTTCTCGGGTCCCGCGAAGGCCCTTCCTTTGGGAGCTGCATTCTGCAGCGTTCCTCTGTCCCTGTGTTCTTTGTCCCCTGTAGTGACACCCTGTACAGGGCCGTGTTCTGCCCTCACCCACCTGGCCTGGGTTCCCCAGGCGGCTTGCAAAACTAAGAGCTCCTTGTCACAGGAGCCTGATGGACCCCGTAAACAGGCCCAGGGATGGCCGGAAAGTCCCATGATGGCCACCTGTGGTCCTCACAGCCCTTCACAAGGGGCCGGCTCCCCACAGTTCTGCCCGTCCATGGCCAGGCCAGGGTCACCAGGGTGGGTGACCCAGGACACAGGCTGGGGGGCAGGAAGTGACCTCACCCAGCCTGGGCTGTGTCTCACCACGGCCTCCAGCCATGTCCCCTCCCCCCCAGCCACTCTGGGGCATGGGGAAGATGATCCTTTTTATAGAGGAGCAAATTGAGGCCTGGGTGGGGAGCAGATCCCAGCAGGACCCTGAGAGAGGACCTGGGGGCCACAGCCTGCACGCTGGGCTAGGCTGGAGGAAGCGGGGTGAGGCCAGGCCGTGGCCTGATGCAGCCATGTGGCCGAGGACATGTCCGTGGCATCCTGAGGATGGCAGGTGATGGCCAGTGGTCTCCCCTGCGTGGTGGGTGGGATTGTCATTGTGAGGTTGCTGTTAGGAGTCTGCCTGGCATCCAGCAGATGCCAACTTTTGGCATCAAAGCAGACCTTGGTTCCAGCCCAGGTACCCTGCTGACCACTGTGTGACCTGGACAAGACTCTGTCCCCCTCCTAAATCTCGGGAGACCAGTGACCCTTGGAGCACAGGGCTGGTGTGAGGATCGAGAGAGGAGAAATCCCTGAAAGGCCAATAGAAAACAAACCACAGTCCTAAACAGTGGCCGGGACGAACAGCAGAGCAGCCCCTGGGGCTTCCCAAGGCTCCTACTCTGAGCTGAGCAGCTGGTCCCCGCCGGGGGTGACACTAGAACCCATCATCTGATCTTATAAACACACTTACTTCTCTGAGCTCTGCCTGGACACCTTCCCTGTGTGCGCGCATCTGTGTTGTGTGGGTGTGTGTGAGCCCGTGTGTGCGCTCAGCCCCATGCCTGCTGGACTTCACACGCGAATGTCTGGCTCTGTGGGTGCACAGGAAGTGTGAGACGTCTGTGTTCTGTATGTCTTACAGGGAGCATCAGTGATTGTGCACAAAGCCGTGATGTGTTTCAGAGGTGGGCAAGCCATCAGGAATAAATAAAAATACAGGGCTGGATGCTGGGAGTGGGGTTGGAGGACCAAGGCAGGGTAGGCAGGGAGGCTGTCCCAGAGGAGGTGACCACACACACAGAAATACCTGAGGCCTGAAGGATAAGAAAGAGCCATTGTGGAAGCCAGGAGTAGTGGCCCAGCTATGATCCCAGCTACTCGGGCGGCTGAGGCAAGAGGATTGCAAATTTAAGGTTAGATTAGGCAACATTGGAAGACCCAGTTTCAAAGTAAATAAGAAAATTTAAGTGCTGGAGGCACAACCCAGTGACAGAGCACTTTCCATCCCAGCTCCACAGAAAACGAGCCAGCTGGGGAAGGTGGGTAGAGAGCGTCCCAGCAGAAGTGGTAGTGTGTATGGAGGCCCGGGGGTAGGTCAGGTCAGGCTTTGGGGCAGAGGACAAAGGTGTCCAGCAATGCTGTAGCCCATGTGGAAGGATTGGTCAGGGAGGGCCTTGTGTCCCCAGGAGGCACTTGGGTTTCATTTGGGGAGGCAGAAGAAGCCATCAGAAGTGAAGACGTGGGTGAAGTGAGTCGAAAGGGATTCCTGTCTGCTGAGCTGGTGAAGCATGTGCGCATGTCTTAGTCACTGTTCTCTTGTTGTTGGGACAAAATACCCGACACCCACAAGTTAAGGGACGAAAGGGTTATTTGGCTCACGGTTTGCAGAGGTTTCAGTCTACAGTTGGCTGGCTCCAAGGCAGGGTGGCGCGGCAGAGGGGCATCACAGAGGAGGAATAGTTCATGGCAGGCAGAAATCAGCAAAGCAGGCAAGTGAAGCAACAAGCCACAGCTATTGTAGCAGCTTCTCTCTGCACTTTTTATATTCTGTCCAGGTTATGGCTTAGGGTGGGTGCGGTAATCACATACCCTTAATCCTAGCATCATGTCTTCGATCCTAGCTGCACACACTCTGGATCCAGCCACCTCTGAAAAGCCCCGTCTCTGAGTGCATGAGGCTTTGTGGGGGTGGACCTCCAGACACAAGCCATACAGTACAGCACCGAGGGGCAAGGCAGCTGTGTTCCCAAAGCCAGGATAAGCTCTAGGGCTGGGGTGTCCTGGCCACAGGGTTGCCCTCATCTCCGCTCCTCTGCTCCCCAGACCTGGACGAGTGTGCGCTGGGCACACACAACTGCTCGGAGGCTGAGACCTGCCACAACCTTCAGGGCAGCTTCCGCTGCCTGCGTTTTGAGTGCCCTCCCAACTACGTCCGGGTGTCTGAAACGTGAGTGCCCCCAACTCCAGGCAGGGACCCTGGAACCCCACACTGCACCCATGCAGCCCAGACCAAGTGACGGGGGTCGGCCTTGACCACTTCCTGCTTGTGCTTCTGTGCAAACATGCTGTGTAACAGTATGTTACTCACCTACTGCTGTGTAACAAATTTTCCCAACACATAGCACCTTCATATATCAAACACTTGTTGGATCATCCTGTTTCTGAGGATGGGGACTCTGACAGCAGTGTCACTGGCCATCTCCCAGGACCGCACTGTCTGCACTGGGGTCTGGGGACCCCACACCACCCACTCTCATGGCTCTGGGCCTCTCCAGGGGGCTACTTCTGACCCGATATCCCCCAGTGTAAAGTAGACTGGCCGAGGAGTGAGTGACAGTCCTTTAACCTGAGCTAACCTTGGAGGTGACTGAATGACTTCTGCTGTCAGCCACACAGCTCAGCACAGAGAGAGCAGAGAGGGGACCAGGCAAGGCATGGCTGCCGGGGGCAGGGGGCTGGGGATGCTGGGAGCATGGGCGGGGTGTGGCAGGAGAGAAGGAAGGAGAAAGGGGTCAGAGGGATGGAAGGCATAAAGACCAGTAGGAGCTGTGCCTCATGCAGTGTACACACCAGGCCAACTGGGCTGGTAGGAGCCCTGTTGCAGGTGAAGATGCCAGGCGGGGCAGTGTCCCTTTGGTCTAGGGGTGGGACCCGGCAAGCCCCACCCTCTGACTGGCGTGCCCCACAAACCTGGCCTCAGTGGTCAGGGCCTAGCCTTGAGAGCCCCGCCCACTGACCAGGCCCCGCCCCTTGAGCCTGGCCCCGTAAGCAAGCCCCACCTCACAAGTCTTGTCCACCAACCGGGCCTCAGCCTGTGAGCGCACCCACTGAGTAGATCCCACCCTATGAGCCCCATCCACCAACCGAGTCCTGGCCTGCAAGCCTGTCCACTGAGCTGGCCCCGCCCCGCCCCACCCCGCAGGAAGTGCGAGCGCACCACATGCCACGACCTGGTGGAGTGCCAGAGCTCGCCAGCGCGCATCACCTACTACCAGCTCAACCTCCAGACTGGCCTGCTGGTGCCCGCGCACATCTTCCGCATCGGCCCCGCGCCAGCCTTCGCGGGAGACACCATCTCGCTGACCATCACCCGGGGCAACGAGGAGGGCTACTTCCGCACGCGCCGGCTCAATGCCTACACCGGCGTGGTCTCGCTGCAGCGGCCGGTGCTGGAGCCCCGGGACTTCGCCCTGGACGTGGAGATGAAGCTGTGGCGCCAGGGCTCCGTCACCACCTTCCTGGCCAAGATGCACATCTTCTTCACCGCCCTTGCGCCCTAGGCTCCAGGGCCGCGCACCCTCCGTGTGCCGTGTGTCCGTGCACGGTCTTGAACTCTGTAAATTAACTAAATGCGCTCTTGGTTTCCGGGCTTCTCCTGCACCCCGAGGGCGGGAGCTTGTTAGCGGGAGGTCCGTCTCAGAAGTTTGAGGTCACCGCGGTGCGCTGCAGGTGGGGACCGAGGCCCGAGGATGGTGACTGCGGATCCACACATGTTGGGGCTTCTGGACTCAACTGGGTGACCGGCTCCACAGTTGACTTCCGTTTCATGATCCACTGTGATTAGTTCTCTACTTTTTTTTTTTTTTTAAAAAATCATTTTAAAGGGTTTTTATGGTTTAATTATAAAAGTAGCACATGTACACTGTAAAAACAATCAAATAGTACGAGAGGGTTATAAAGAAAAAAAAAATCAAACACCTCCTCCTCCCCTTTCTTTTTGACAAATGTTGGCATTTGATTGTGGTGTCTGAATCCAACAGGAGGGTCCTCTGCGCCCCCAGATCCAGTCACCTGAAAGCCCCGGTTCTGGACACATGAGCCTGGGGGACATTTTAGACCCAAGCCGTATCTCATACCTTATAGTCCTGCTCCAACACCTGGCCCTCAAGCCGGGCTGACTTGGGGTAGGAATTACCCTGTCGCCCGACACTTTGTGATCTTATTTTCACTGTTCCTGCAGCCCCTTCTCCCCACTGTCCCGTATCTCTGCCTCCCCCTTCCCTAAGTTCGCGCCTCAGGCACTGCTTTGTCACTTTGGATGTCCTCCAGGCCCCAGAAGTCATCACCGGCAGAACCAACCGTGACACTAGGCTGAGGTTCGCGAGTGGTTTTTCCACTGAAGTTTTTTCCCTGCTGTACTTCGTGGTGGGTGTCCTTTCAGTTGCTTTGACAATGTTTAGTGATAAATGTCCTGAACTTGCAGTCCTCCTGCCTCAGCCTCCCAGGGTGCTGGGATTACAGGTATGGACTACCACATTTATCATGTGTGAAGAGTTTGGCCCTGGTGGTTTTAAACTTGACGTTTTTTGATATGTGGGTCCAGGCTGCTGCTGCTTCTGTGTCTTCCCAGGGACCCCCACACTTAGTCCCAGAGATGTGCCCAGGCTGCCCTGGGTCCCCGTTGCAGGGAATGGGACCCGTTTGAAGACTTCTCTGGATACTTGATGAGGAGGGCGCTGCTGTTCCCGGGGGTCTGTGCCTCTATTCTGACCACATTGCATCAGGCGTCCCCCAGAAAGTCGGCACCTTCGAGTGGGTGACCTCACGTCCCACCAAGGCTCACGGAGCTGGGTGACTTAAGCCCTCAGCTATGCCACCGTCCACAGCCCCATCCTGTGGGTAGAGCCCCGGGGCGTCCCTTGCTTGGTTGACGGAATATTTAGAGAAGTCCTGAGCCGTCGTGTAAACAGCGAGCAACTTCCCATTAACATTTATGTTTTGAGCCTCTCTAAACATCTCAAGATTTCTCCTTCCTGTAATTTCCCCGGTAAAATTCTCGTGAAAATTTTGGATTCAGCGAGTGCTGTGACCCCTGAAGAGCTGGTGGCATCTGCCAGGTGGCGTCTGCCAGGTGGACTTGGGCCACTGCAGCTCTCTGCACATAGGCAGAGCTGTTCTGAGATGGGCCAGGGGAGGGGCTCAGCAGGAGGTAGTGAGCTCCCTGGCATGGGAGGTGTGCAAGCTTCTCTTCAAGTTCCTGAGCTTGGGACAGGGCCCACGAAGTTCTATCTTGTCGGTGTTTCAGGATTTTCTAAGACCTGCATCGTCTCTGCAAGCCAGGGAGGGGAAGTTTTCCCTCCTTCTCTCGGTGACACCCTCCAAGGACCAAGGTGTGGCCCATAAGCACGGCAATGGCGCGCCCTTGTGGCTGCATCCCAGCCCGGCGGCTCCGCCTGCCACTCCGCAGGGGCAGTGATACAGGCAGGTGGGCGTAGTCAGGTATTTCCGTGGCCCACTTGCCACGGAGCGCCAGGGACAAAGCGGGCCGTGCAAAGACAAAAGGTGGAGAGACGCCTCGCCGGGCCGACCCACGGCAAAGAGGCACACGGAGTCACCGGACAAGAACAGCCAGGCACGTGCAGCGGACTCCTTACCCCAGGCCTCGCGCGCCACGGTTCTGGTGATTTGCGGTTAGCTGCTGTCCGCGAATAAGGATCCCAGAACGAAGTAGCTCCTGGGTTCCCACAGGGAAGGCTGCCGGGGGGCGGGATGAGGTTCTGCACCGTCCCGCCGTGCCTGCCCGGAGTGACCCGCGCCGTCGCCCGCACATCCATGCTGCTAGGCACCGAGTGACCGGGTCCGGGTTCTGACAGTCGCATTGTCACAGATTATCTGTGATGCTGTTCAAGTGACCCCCAGGGTACCTTGGCAGTGCGGGCGATTCGGGTGCAGCAGAGAGAAAACCGAAAATGCCTCCATAGGAGAAAGAACAGTAAGAGAGAAAGACCCCACGTGCGGCCTTGTTACTGTGCAGTTAGGACTGTCCTCTAGTATACGGTTGCTGCTGATCTCTTCGTGGCTCCAATTTATAAACAAAATTTTTGTTGTTCTTTGAGGTAGGGTCTCGCTATGTAGCCCAGGCTGGCCTGGAGCTTGCAGCCACCCTCCTACCTTAGCCTCCGGAGTGCTGGGGTTACCGGTGTGTGGGACCTCGCCCATTTAATTTGTGAGGGAGACGTTATCACGGGTATGTATGGGAAAATAGTCTCTCTAGAGTTCAGCACAACATGCACATTCAGGAGCCCGCTGGGGTCTTGAGACGGGTCCCCACAGACGTGGGGCCTGCTCTACACGTCTGCTGGAAGGGCCAGAACCGGAAGCCCTGGCGAGGATGAAACAGGAACTCTGCCACGGCTGGGGAGAACACAGAGGCCACCTTGGAGGACAGCCTGGCGATTTCTTCCAAAAACAAACACCCCCGGAAATCACACCCTGAGGATTTACTCAGATTCGCCGAGAGCCCGCGTCCGTTCAGAGGCGCGGTGGAGCTGTTTACAGCAGGTTTGTTCATGACCGCAGGAGCTCGCAAGGCCCGCGGGTGTCCTTCAGGAGGTGAGGGGATGACCACGCGGACAGCAGGCAGCGGGTGTCACACGCCGAGGAAATGAGAAACCAGCTACGGCCGGACAGTGTGTGTGTGTGTGTGTGTGTGTGTGTGACTCACTCCAAAAGCACATTCCAGCTCGAGAAGCCAGACTGCAGAGTCTACATCTGCGTGAACCCCAAGAACACAACCAGCTGAAAATGGGCAGGGCTTGGAGCCAGAAACAAAGTTGCCAGGGGCCTGACGGGAGGGCCACAGGGCAGGGCACCACGGGTGGAGGGGGAGGCGTTACCAATGGGGAGGCCTATATGGGGGCCGAGGGCCCACAGGGCCTCTCTCCGCCGTCTGTTTAATTTTGCTGTGCACCCAAAACTGCTCTAAGGAAATAAAACCTAAGCCGGGTGTGGTGGCGGACATCTGTGGGAGGCTGAGGCAGGAGGATGCCGAGGACAATTTAGCGAGATCCTGTCTTAAAATAAAAGGGGCTGGAGATGTAACTCAGTGCTAAGGTCCTGGATTCAATCCCCATTCTAGCAAAAATAAAGTAACCGGCAAGAGGGTTGCAGCCCCTGCAGGGCACGCAGGGCTCTGCACCTTGCAGGCTTCTCCCAGCCTCGTGTGCGCACAGCGACACCTGGCGGCAGCATCCGGAATTGCTAGCGGCCGCGCAGGCGCAAAGCGGGCCGGGGCTGCCGCTCGCGGGACCCAAGCGCAAAGGAGCCCGAGGCGCGTCGGCGTGCGCGCGGGAGCCGAGCCGCCGCTTTGGTTTAGTAGCGCCCCGGCTTCCGTCGCCAAGACCGGAGGAAATAAAAGCCCGCTGCTTCTCCGCAGTGCCTCCTTTGCTGCTTTGATGACTGTCATTTCTACAGGATTGGGTCTGCCTGGAGGAATCTGCAGACGCGCCCGGATTGCCCAGGCCGGCAGGCGCGTGCACGCACACAGGCACGCGCACGCGGGCGCGCGCAGGGGGCCCATCAGGAGGACGACACCTTGTAGGTGGCCCTGGACACTTGAGTGAGAGCGAGCCGCGCCGAGATCGGCCCGGGCTGTCCTGTGCCCCAGGCCGAGGACACGGTGGCCGCGGCCTGTGTCCATCTGCGCCATCGAGCTGCCCGCGAGCCGGGCTTTCCCGGGGTGACGAGGGGTCAGGATCGACCGCCCGCTTCACCCGCCTCCTTCCCTCCGGTGCGGCCCTTTTCCGGGACTGCAGAAAAAAGTTCCGAGGCCCCAGCACCGAGCACGGGCACCGCCCGAAGGAGGCGCTGAGCCCGCTTTGCTGGGTGGATAAAGGGGGTCGGCTCGGGCGGCTCAGGTGGAGACTGAGCCTTTGCCCCAGGTCCGCGCTGGGCCGAGCCGCAGGGGTGGCGGGCAGAGCTGAGGGGCCGCGGCGGCAGCAGTTGGAGTCAGGGGTCCGCCGCCCGCTGTGTCCACGGTCGGCGCGGGGCCAGGCTTTGTCCTGAGTCCGTCCATTTATCAGGTCGGAAGCTCAAGGCCAGGCCGGCCGGTGGAGCCAGGGTTTCTGTGCCTGTCCTTCCCCCAGCCTGGCTCTGACCCTGTGAGACGTGCCAGGAAGGGTGGGACAGAGGGACAGGCCTCTGGCCTGTGCTGGGCGCTGTCAGTGGGCCAGGATTTATGCCTGTGTCCCCCTAGGCCTGGTCGCAGTCCACCCATCCCAGTGTCGGGATGGAACTCCTCAGGCTCGGGCCGCCGCCTCCAGGATGGAAGACGTGGGTGGCGGGGACCGGGGCCAGCTCGGCGTTAGTGTCCCCACTGTGGATGGCATCAACTTTGTGCCCACCCCTCTGGCCCCACTGTGTGCCATGGGTAGACGCCCATGTGCTACCTGCAGGCCGCCTGACCCACACAGCCTTTGCCCAGGCTCAGGGGCTGGAGAGGAAGTGTCCCACGCCCGTGATCTCAGCACTCAGGAGGCTGAGGCAAGAGGATTGCCAGGGGTTTGAGGCCAGCCTAAGCTACACAGTAAGACCCTGTCTCAAAAAATCTAAACAATGAAAAACAGGAGTCCTAGCGAGTGAGCCAGGGTCAGAGTGTCAAGGTGGAGGCGGCCCCCAGGGACAGGAGAGGTGGCACCTGACTTTTCCTCTCTTCCCCTTACTCAAATCATGGGGAGCCCGGCCTACTGGACCCCAGAACACTCCTGATCCTGGCCCCTTCCCTGCCTCTATTCTCTTGCACCGCCCTAAGCCAGATCCCTTGGGACTCCTGCACCACCAAACCTCAGAATGTTCTGGAACCTGACCTCGCCCCTCCTGGATCCTCCCTTGTCCCCCACACCCAGCCATGAGTCAGCGCTGTGCAAGGACCTCAGGGTACTGCGGGTCCCCGCCACTGCCCGCCTCCCTTGCCGCAA